CAGAGGTTAAAAACTTTTCTACCTGTCAGAAAGACTCCAAATAGAGCAGTAAGATGCCTCAGACCAGGTGACTGTCTCCAGCTTGCCCCGTCCACAGGCAAGGTGAGCCTGGAAACAACTGTGAAAACAGCAACCCACTGGCAAAAGGGTCGGGGTTACTGGAGCAGGAGCCACTCCCGGTGAACGATAAATGTCCTGCAGGTCACCAGAGAATTGCCCGTTAAAGTAGCATAATACGGTTTCTGAGCTGGGTGTGGTGGCACATGCCCGGAATTCCAGTGCTTGGGAGCTGAGGCAGGAGGGTCGCTGTGAGTTCGAGGTCATTGCAAGCTACCTAGAGAGTTGAAGGCCAGCCTGTACTATATAGTAAGACCCTGTTTTATTAGGGGGGAAAGTAATTTTTCTATGTCGATGACATGTTGATAGGGTCATCTTTGGGATATTTTGGGTTAAATAAAAATATATTATGAAACTGTACTTTACCTGTGTACCTTTTAAATACGGCCGCCTAAGAGCCGGGCATGGCCGAGGCCACCTTACCCTGGCTTTTACCCAGACTTGGCCACAAGAGCGTTCACTGGCATCGCGTGTAACAGCTGGAAAGGCAGAACCAACCCTTCAGGTTCATCAGCACGAATGGGGGCAAAAAGGTGGCGCTTTCTTGACCCAGGGGATCCAGGCTTAGAGACAGGGTGGGGAACGGAGCAGCCTCCGAGCTATTCTCGAAGGCTGATTTTACACAGTACCATCAGGGATTCCTGGTGGATATGTGTTTGTGTGCTGAAAGTATACAATTATGGGTAGAAACTGTAAACAAGAAGATTCCAGGTGGTGGTGGCCTGTGAGGGTGCTGGCAAGTGGAGGGAGATGGACCCCTGGATCTGTGGGGTACACAGGGACCCTCAATGGTGTCTGCAGTGTTTTGTTATTTGCTGGGGGCAGGGGAGGATGCCTTGGGGGTTTTGTATGATTGAGACATTTCAACCAGTCCATAGACAGCTATAGCCATTTTGAAGTTACTTGGTTTCTGGTGAAAAAGTTCCAGAGGATAAACCAGGTATGGTGGTCCATGCCTCAGGGAGGCTGAGGCGGGAGGATGGGTAAGTTCAAGCCCAGCCTACGCAGTTGAGCAGTTTAGTGAGACCTGTCTCAAAATTTAAAAAGAAATAAAAAGGAATGGAGATGTGGGCCAGTGTGAGGGTTCTGGGTTAAATCTGCAGGGCTGCAGATGATGGTGATGGTAGTGGTGGTGGTGGCAGTGGTGGTGGTGGTGGCAGTGGTGGTGGTGATAGCAGTGGCGGTGGTGGTGGTGGTGGTGGTGGTGGTGGTGGTGGTACTGAACTGTCTGTCCAGTCATGAGCCTTCTCCTTTTTTATTTTATTATTTATTTATTTTTTGGCAGAACTGGGGATTGACCTCAGGCCCTTGCACTCACCAGGCAAGCATTTATTCTACTGAGCTGTCTCCCCAGTCCCCAGCCTTCTCCTTTTTGTGTCCCAGCTGTGCTTCTGTGGGGAAATGACTTGGCCCGGGAGCCTGGCTCATGTGGCTGTTTGCCCAGCTGTGTGGGCAGCAGGCAGCATCCTCCCCTGAGGAGAGGTGGCTGGACAGTGGCCTGGGGTCAGGTAGGGGCTGCAATTCGGTCCCCAGTGGCCAAAGTCCTTCCACAGTCCCTCAGGGCACTTGGCACTCATTCTGCCCCTTGCCGCCCACAGGACAGCCGGCCTCTGTTTCTGCGTGGTGAGCAGCACCATGCCCCCCGGTGTCGACTGCCCCATGGAGTTCTGGACCAAGGAGGAGAACCAGAGTGTGATGGTGGACTTCCTGCTGCCTACGGGCATCTATCTCAATTTCCCAGTGTCCCGCAATGCCAACCTCAGCACCATCAAGCAGGTAAAGAGCATTTTTTAAGAATGGTTGAAAACTTGTGGTCAGCTCCACTTATCATTGAGAAACCAGCTTCCTTCTTTAGCGGTAGAGGTTTCCCTGAGCTAGATTACTAGATTACTGGATTACTAGATTACTGGATTACTGGCAGCTGGCCCGATGGGGCTGCTCCTGTGTGGTTCTTGTTTGCCTCTCAACTGGGCCTTGCTTTGGAAACCACGCCCCACGCACAACCTCTTCAGTGACTCACAGGCCCTTGTCTTCAGAATTGTCTCCGTTTTTGTGACCATCTTTCCAGGAAAGAGTTTCTGGTCTGTGGTATAATCTGCAGGATGGATTACTGAGTCAAAGCATGGACCAGCTGGGCAATATTTGGTAGTGGTTGTGACGTTCAAAGGGTCTGTGGCACTTACAGAGTAGGGGGTCTAATAGAGCCTTGCCTTGGGCTGCCAATGGGCATGGCCTTAGCTCGCAACTGTAAAAGCTGTCATCGGGAGCAGAAAAAGAAGTGGTAAAACCAGTGTACCATCCTTGAGGGTATTTTTAGTTCTCCTTCCTGAGAGAATTCTTTTTTTTTTTTTTTCCTGAGAGAATTCTTTAAAAATTAAGTTTCTTAGCCAGACATGGTAGCATATTCCTGTTACTGCAGCACGTAATAACGGGGGCTGAAGCAGGAGGATTGAGGTTTGAGCCTCGCCAGACAATTTAGCAGGACCGTGCCTTAAAATAAGAAAAGAATCAGAGTAAAAAATGGGCTGGGGTTGTTGCTTAGTGCAGAAGCCCTGGGTTTAATCCCCAGTACTTCAAAAGCAAAACAATAAGGGGCCAGGGAGTTGGCTCAGTGGAATAAGCGCTTGCCTGGCAAGTGCAGGGGCTTGAGTTCAATCCCCAGTTCCAAAAAAAAAAGCAAAACAAAACAATCACAAAAACTGCAGTTTGCCAAATCTTGCTCTAGAATAATGCCCGTTTCTCCTGGTTGCTTTTCTGAGATATGTTCTGAGGTCTCTTCCTCCTCCATACCGTCCTCCTGGGTGGGGTCTTGGCCCTTGTCATCATCACAGATCGTCACCAGCCATCCCCCAGGTGGCAGCTCCAGGCTTCACCTTCCTTTCTCACCTTCCTTGTCACCCAGGGGAACACCTTGCTCTAAGCCCACTGCCCCCTTGCTTCTCCAGCCAGAGGCCCTGGGGACACCTAGGGGCTATGTAGGTGACCTTTGCTCAATGCTGTCCATGAAGACCTTTTCTGTGACACATTGGCATGTTAAACTTGTCTTTTCCCTGTCTCTCTGTCTGTCTCTGTCTGTCTCTGTCTCTCTGTCTCTGTCTCTGTCTCTGTCTCTGTCTCTCTCTCTCTCTCTCTCTCTCTCCAAGATCTCACTCTGTAGCCCACACTAGCCTCAAACTTGAGCCAGTCCACCTGCTTCAGTTTCCCAAGTCCTGGGATTAGAGGCATACACCACCGCAGCCAACTGGCATGCTAAGCTTTTCTGAATCAGTGTCTAACATTTAAGAGTCAGGGTGATAAACCTGGATTGCTGGGGGTGACCGAGGGTCATGCTCACCATCTCCTGGGGTGGCCTGAGGAGGTCCACGTGAGCTGCAGGGCATGCAGCCTCAGTGTCCGCTCGTCCCAGGACCTTTCACGGAGGGCAGGGGCAGTTAGCCCCAGAGTCTGGTGGTGCCGGGTGTGACCCCAGGCCAGAGAAGCTGAGGTGCCATCCCCACAGGTGTTGTGGCACCGGGCGCAGTATGAGCCGCTCTTCCACATGCTCAGCGACCCCGAGGCCTATGTGTTCACCTGTGTCGACCAGACTGCCGAGCAGCAGGAGCTGGAGGATGAGCAGCGCCGGCTGTGCGACGTTCAGCCCTTCCTGCCGGTGCTGCGCGTGGTGGCTCGGGAGGGCGACCGCGTCAAGAAGCTCATCAACTCCCAGATCAGCCTCCTCATCGGCAAAGGTAGCTAGCTGTGCGGGTGGCCGGGTCCCCGGGGCGGCCCCTGCACACACACTGACCTTAATTCCCCCGGCCCAGGCCTCCACGAGTTCGATTCCCTGCATGACCCGGAGGTGAATGACTTCCGCACCAAGATGCGCCAGTTCTGCGAGGACGCGGCTGCGCGGCGCCAGCAGCTGGGCTGGGAGGACTGGCTGCAGTACAGCTTTCCCCTGCAGCTCGAACCTTCGGCCAGGAGTGGGGGTCCGGGTGCCCTGCTGGTCCCCAACCGGGCCCTGCTGGTCAACGTCAAGTTCGAGGGCAGCGAGGTGAGCCCGCAGAGCCTGCTTCCCAGGAACCCTAGCGCCACAGCTGCATCCGGGCAGCAGGGCTCACAAAGGGCCTCCCCTACGTCCCCAAAGGTTCCCAGGCCCCCCAAATCTGCCCTCTTCTTCAAAGCCTTAGATGTGACAGGCTGGTGTCCGTGACTGAGAGGGGCTCAGTCAAGTGTCCACCAGGAGATGAGCACATGGCGCTGTTCACTGGTACACCGTGCGCTGAACTGTGCTTCCTGGGCACCTTCCCTGCCTCGGTGGGCTGCCCCGGCCCAGCTGGAGGGACCCCGCCCTGCTGCCCCGAAGCCTGCCGACCTGGGCGGCAGAGAGCTGACCCTCCCTCCATCCCCCAGGAGAGCTTCACCTTCCAGGTGTCCACCAAAGATGTGCCTCTGGCACTGGTGGCCTGCGCCCTACGCAAGAAGGCCACCATCTTCCGGAAGCTGCTGGTGGAGCAGCCGGAGGACTACGCGCTGCAGGTGAACGGGAGGCACGAGTACCTGTATGGCAGCCACCCGCTCTGCAGGTTCCAGGTGAGGGGGACAGCTGGCCCTGGGGGGCGGGGAGACACACACTCGCAGGCAGCTCACCCGCACCCTGCCGCCCCAGTACATCTGCAGCTGCCTGCACAACGGGCTGACCCCCCACCTCACCATGGTGCACTCCTCCTCCATCCTGGCCATGCGGGACGAGCAGGACGACCCAACCCCCCAGGTCCAGAAGCCACGCCCCAAACCGCCCCCTATCCCCTCGAAGAAGGTGAGTGGTGTGCATGTGGCCCTTCCCTCCATCGTGCCCCTCCATCCAGAACCTGCCGGATTGGCTGTGGATTCGGGCCCTGAAAATCATTGCCTCACTGGCGCTGGGGAAGCTGGGGTGACTGGCATCAGTGTGGGGTCCCCCTCTGTGCTGCTCCTGTGGCAGTGTCCAGGGTGTGGGGCCCCAGGCACCTGCAGGGCAGATTTCCTGGTAAAGGCTGGTGGTAGGGACAAGTGTCTGTGCCTCTACAATCCTGGGACACCCTCACCCCACCTGAGTGGTCATGGCCCCCTCCAGGGATGTGAGCTGTGCCTCCCACCCCTCCCCCAGCCCTCCTCCGTGTCCCTGTGGTCTCTGGAGCAGCCATTCTGCGTGGAGCTCATCCAGGGCAGCAAGGTGAACGCAGATGAGCGCATGAAGGTAGGGCCCAGGGCTGGGGCTGGGGCCAGGCAGGGCCAGGGAGCGAGAGAAGGGACCGTGTTTTTTGCACAAGCAAGCTGGCTGCAGGCTGGAGGGCAGCGGAGGAAGGCGAGTGGGAGGGTGTCACACGAAAGCCACCTGACCACATTACCCAGCATCCTCGCCTGTGTGGCTGTGAGTGCTGCAAAACAGGAAGAGGGGAGGGAGAAGCTGCCAGGGTGGCGGATTCGTGGAAATGGGGCAGAGCTGCTTCTGGGTATTTGACTTTGGCAGCGTGGGGGTTGGGCCCAGCCAGGGGCCAGGAGGCATGGTCTGGGGAGAGGTCCCAGCTGGGCTGGTGCTCCCTGGGGTGCTGGGAGGGCTTTGCCCCTCTTTCTCGAGCCTCACTGTTGCCCTTCAGAGTACATCCACATGCTACCCCTGGCCCCCAAAGCCACCTGTCACGTGTAGGCTTACCATGGGATGGCACTCCTGGAAACAAGCCTAGATCTCTTGTCTGGGTCCCCCATCTTTTTTTGGGTGGGTACTGGGAGTTGAACTTAGGGCTTTAGCCATGAGTAGCATCTTCCCACTGGTTTGTTGGTTTATTTTGTCTTGGTTTGGTCTTTTGAGATAGTCGTCTTATGTAGCCGACTCACAGTAATCCTCCTGCCTCAGCCTCCTGAGTGCTTGGATTACAGGTGTACTTTTTTAAAAAAATTATTTATTTATTTTTATTTATTACATTTATTTATTGTGTGTGTGGCCAGCTCAGCCCACCAGGGGGTGGGGCTGACTGGCATGTGGTGCTGGGGGATCGCTTTGCCAAGCTTGTTTCAAGTAGGTGCTTTAGACCACTGAGCCATCTCTCCAGTCCTACAGGTGTACTTTTATTTTTTTATTTGAAACAGGGTCTTACTAAGTAATAGTGTTGGGATTACAGGTATGCACCACCATACATGCCCCTGGGTCCCTTTTTGTTGGGGTAACTTTACAAGCTGAGTGGGGCTGAATCCATTGGTGGGAATCTTGGGGGACAAACAAAGGGGCTTTCAGGAGGGCCTTGCAGGGTGGAGTTGGAGGGGGCACTAGGGGATTGATCAGGCTTTGGGGGAAACCCTTCACCCACACAGGACAGCTTGTGAGACTAAAGGGAGTTCCAGGATGTTAGAACCCGAAGGGAATTACCCAGCCCTGAGAGGGAAACAGAAGCCCAGAACCGGGGAAGGGATGTGTCTGAGCTCCCACAGGCAGGGGCTGGAGACTGTCACACATACACAACTCAAGTGCTGTCCTTGTCCCACGGTTATGTGTCCACTCGGGCTGCTGCTTGCCTCTGCCATCCCCTGATGCACACAGGAAGTGGACTCTGGCTTGATGGGCTGTTTGGGAGGTCCCCAAAGGAGTATGCCTCTGCTCCCCTTACCTGGGCCGGCACCCTCATTCCCAGCTGGTGGTGCAGGCCGGGCTCTTCCATGGTCACGAAATGCTGTGCAAGACGGTGTCCAGCTCGGAGGTCAGCGTCTGCTCCGAGCCCGTGTGGAAGCAGCGGCTGGAGTTTGACATCAGCATCTGCGACCTGCCCCGCATGGCCCGGCTCTGCTTTGCGCTGTACGCCGTGGTGGAGAAGGCCAAGAAAGCACGCTCCACGAAGAAGAAGTCCAAGAAGGCGGTGGGTAGGGGGGCTGGGAGGCCCTCCTCGGGTCAGCCCCTCTGCCTCATCCCCAGCTGCGCTGCAGACAAACCTGGGGCTGGCCTGACCCTCCGTTGTGCCCGCAGGACTGCCCGATTGCCTGGGCCAACATCATGCTGTTTGATTACCGGGATCAACTGAAGACTGGCGAGCGCTGCCTGTACATGTGGCCCTCGGCCCCTGGTGGGCCCAGGCCCAGGAGGGGGTGGTGACTGGGTGGTTCTTAGCCAGTGACCTGTCCCATACAACTCTCATGTCCTCATGTTCAGATGAGAAAGGGGAGCTGCTGAACCCCGCAGGGACAGTGCGTGGCAATCCTAACACAGAGAGTGCCGCCACCTTGGTCATCTGTCTGCCAGAGGTGGCCTCCCACCCTGTGTACTACCCTGCCCTGGAGAAGGTTGGTGGTGCAGGGGGGCTCTTGAGGGACTTTGCCAGCCCTGTTCCTGGGGTGCCTGGGGATGCAGGCTTCTGGCTGTGTGGGGACGGTGGTAATGTCTGCTGGCTGTACAGCAGGTAGGAGGGATGGGGGTGGGCGGGATGTGGCCCAGCACCCTGGAGTGCCCAGCACAGGCCCCCCAGCCAGAGTGCACAGCACGAGGGCCAAGGTGCCAGGGCTGGGTGGGGGCACTGAGAATAGGGTGACTCCTTGCAGATCCTGGAGCTTGGGCGGCATGGGGAACAGCGTGGGCACATCACCGAGGAGGAGGTAAGTGGGGGCCCCAGGCAGGGCATGGAGCCATCAGGGCCTGGAACCTCATGCTGCCTGCTGCCCCTCAGCAGTTACAGCTGCGGGAGATCCTGGAGCGGCGGGGCTCCGGGGAGCTCTATGAGCACGAAAAGGACCTGGTGTGGAAGATGCGCCACGAGGTCCAGGAGAACTTCCCGGAGGCCCTGGCCCGCCTGCTGCTGGTTACCAAGTGGCACAAGCACGAGGATGTGGCCCAGGTGGGTGCAGGGGGATCTGGGCCAGAGCTGAGGGCCCTCGAAGCACACACCTGACCGCCACCCGCCCCCAGATGCTCTACCTGCTGTGCTCCTGGCCCGAGCTGCCGGTCCTGAGTGCCCTGGAGCTGCTGGACTTTAGCTTTCCCGACTGTCACGTGGGCTCCTTCGCCATCAAGTCCCTGCGGAAACTGACGTGAGTCCCCTGTGGGCCCAAGGGTGGGCTCCAGGGCGGCTGAGTCTGGCCTCACCCCTTCCCCATGGCCTTGCTCCAGGCCCTAGATGGCCTCTCTTCCTGCAGGGACGACGAACTCTTCCAGTACCTGCTGCAGCTGGTCCAGGTGCTCAAGTATGAGTCCTACCTGGACTGTGAGCTGACCAAGTTTTTGCTGGATCGGGCGCTGGCCAACCGCAAGATTGGCCACTTTCTCTTCTGGCACCTTCGGTAGCTGGGTCCACCCTGGCCCCAAGGGAAGACGGGACCGGCCCGCTGTCCCCATGTTCCCAGCAGGCCCGGTGCCCTGGCCACCCCAGGGCCTCCCTCCTGGGGGCTGAGGGAGGGGCTCTGCAGCCTGGCCTGGCGAGGGTCAACCCCATGTCCCTCCCTGCAGCTCTGAGATGCATGTGCCATCGGTGGCTCTGCGCTTTGGCCTCATCATGGAAGCCTACTGTAGGGGCAGCACGCACCACATGAAGGTGCTGATGAAGCAGGTGCGGCTTGGGCCACTCCTTCCCCCAGATTCACTTCCTGCAAGTCTAGCCCCACCCACTGTTGTGTTCCCTTTCTTCCCACCAGGGGGAAGCACTGAGCAAGCTGAAGGCCCTGAATGACTTTGTGAAGGTGAGTTCCCAGAAGACCACCAAGCCCCAGGCCAAGGAGCTGATGCACCTGTGCATGCGGCAGGAGACCTATCTGGAGGCGCTGTCCCACCTGCAGTCCCCGCTGGACCCCAGCACATTGCTGGAGGAAGTGTGGTGAGCCCCAGCCCCTCTAACCCCGGCGGCCCTGCACCCTGGCTGCCAGCATCACTGCTGACCACTGTCTCTGGCCTCAGCGTGGAGCAGTGCACATTCATGGACTCCAAGATGAAGCCACTGTGGATCATGTACAGCAGCGAGGAGGCAAGCAGCACGGGCAGCGTGGGCATCATCTTCAAGAACGGTGACGGTGAGCCTGGCGGGTCAGCGTGGGGACCTGGGTGGGGGACCCCAGCCAGGGGCTTGGCATGGCGGGACCCCCCCGGGAACCATGTGCTCCTCTCTGGCCACTGCAGACCTCCGCCAGGACATGTTGACCCTGCAGATGATCCAGCTCATGGATGTGCTGTGGAAGCAGGAAGGCCTGGACCTCAGGTGGGCACCCGCCACCTCTCTGTGCCCGGGCCAGCCTCAGAGCCCGCACTGTCATTGTCCCAGCCCGTGGGAACAGGCTGGAGAGGAGCTGGAGCCCCAGGGCATCGGGAGGGGGTGGGAGGCTGCGTTTCATTCCCACGTTTCCTGGCTGCCCCATCTGGGAAGCAGCAATGTCTCCTTCCTGCCACCAGTTTCTTTCTTCCCAGCAAACTTGAGCTCAGCCCAGTGCGTGCTGTGCCAGGAAACCCTCATCCAGCACAGGACTGCTGCCCTCTCAGTGCCCCGAGTAGTCTCATCCCCTGGCAGTTCTCTGGGTGCCTCAAGCTCCTGGGGGTCCTGTGGCCCAGGGACACCCTTTGACCGTGGCATGGTCCTGCCTCTCCACCCACTTGCTTAGGATGACTCCCTATGGCTGCCTCCCCACCGGGGACCGCACAGGCCTCATTGAGGTGGTGCTGCACTCAGACACCATCGCCAACATCCAGCTGAACAAAAGCAACATGGCAGCCACAGCTGCCTTCAACAAGGATGCGCTGCTCAACTGGCTCAAGTCCAAGAACCCTGGGTAGGGCTCCTTCCCCAGGCGAGATGCGGGGTCTGGCCTGAAGGGAGAGCCAGGCATGGGCTCCGTGATCAGCCAAGAACCTCCTGTGGGTTGAGGTAGTTCTTGGATCCGTTCCTGCTCCTCAAAACTCAGGGCTTTTTAAAACCACCACTGCCCCTGGCTCGGCTGTGTGTCTCTGCTGGTCTTATTGGCATTGGCTCTGCCCCTGCTGCCATCTGGACTTCGTCTGAGATGCTCTGTCTTGTGCAGGGGCTTCAGCCCTAGCAGCCCTCCACGTGACCGCATCTCAGTGGCGGGGCTGAGGTGGTGCACAGCGGCCCTGTGAGGTGCCCTGTGAGGTGCCCTCAGCCTCAGCTCCAGAGTAGTGTCCTTCACGGTCCAGGCCAGGGAATCAGTCCAGCTCAAGGAAGAAGCTGCTGCACAATAATGTAGCTTTCAATTCCCCCCAACACCCCAGGGATGCTCTGGACCGAGCCATCGAGGAGTTCACCCTGTCTTGCGCGGGATACTGTGTGGCCACCTACGTGCTGGGCATTGGGGATCGGCACAGCGACAACATCATGATCCGCGAGAGTGGGCAGGTAGCAGCAGTACAGGTGGCCGTGCTCCAGTCCCAGCAGCACACATCTTCCCCAAGTGTCCCCAAGCCCCATGACTCGCCCTCTCCCAGGGACTGACACCTTTTCAGTCTCTGTTCTTCCCTCCCCTCAGCTGTTCCACATTGATTTTGGCCATTTCTTGGGAAATTTCAAGACCAAGTTTGGAATCAACCGTGAGCGGGTCCCATTCATCCTCACTTATGACTTCGTCCACGTGATTCAGCAGGGGAAGACGAGTAACAGTGAGAAATTTGAGCGGTAAGGCTGCCCAGGACCGCCAGGGAAGAGAGAGAAATTTCCCAGCCCCATGGGGCAGTGGCCAAGGAGGTTCATGGGAGGCAGGAATGCGGGGTTGCATGGATGCTGGTACAGGGCCGCTGCCTCATGCTGGAGGACTCTGAGCCTCACCTGCCTGGCCTCCTGTCCCACAGGTTCCGGGGCTACTGTGAAAGAGCCTATACTATCCTGCGGCGCCATGGTCTCCTCTTCCTCCACCTTTTCGCACTGATGCGGGCAGCAGGTCTGCCTGAGCTCAGCTGCTCCAAAGATATCCAGTACCTCAAGGTACGCAAGGTGGGCCGAACCAGACAGGAGGCCCGACAGCATGGGGACCTCTGGGGCATCTACCTGCCTGGTCCTCAGGCCAACCAGGAGCCCAGCGTGGGGAATGGTGGGAAGTGACCAGAGCAGCCAAGCTCCTGGGGTTAAACCTGCTCAGAGCAGGTGCTGGGTGACCCTTTGTCATCTCAGGGGTCCCCACAGGTCCTCATGACTGCAGTCCTTCTGTGGTGTCCCTGAGATGGGTGGAGGCTGCTGTGCCACCTGACCCTTCTCCCAGGCAGGACAGGGCTACCTGGCACAGACAAAAGCTGTGGCCCCAAGACCCCTTTGGCATTTCTGTGTTTGGGATCAGAGTAATGCACTTTTCCTCAAGGGAGCTGTGGGGCTCCTGTATACCTGGAGGGGACAGAGGGGCCCCCAAGTGGTGATGTTTCTGTGTGACTCTGCCCCAGGACTCTCTGGCACTGGGGAAAACGGAGGAAGAGGCACTGAAGCACTTCCGGGTGAAGTTCAACGAGGCCCTCAGGGAGAGCTGGAAGACCAAAGTGAACTGGCTGGCGCACAATGTGTCCAAAGATAACAGGCAGTAGGCCGCTTGCAGCCACACTGGTCCCCTCCCACTTGCCCTGAGAGGCAAGCCATGGGCCTGGGACCAGGCACCCTCAGGCCTCTTAGATTGGCCTAAGAGCCTAAACTGCACCTCATGGGAAAGAGCCACACAATTGCCTTTTGTTTACACTGGTTATTTATTTGCCACTGAAATGTTTAAGGAGCAAAACAGCCATAAATGGACACGCACCCTTGCGTGGGCAGGTACACCAAGCCAGGCACCTGGCTCCTGGCTGATTGTCACCGCAAGTCTTCCAGCTGCAGGGCCGGCCCAGTGGACTCTTCCAGGGTGAGACATCTTTTCCCTGGGCTTTTGCCTGCCTGCCTGCCTGCCTGCCTGCCTGGGGCGTGGCACCTGTCACCTGTTATCTCCTTTCCAGAGAGGACCACCCAGGCAGGACCCTTCTGGGTGGCCCACCCGCCACTCCTCTCCTTCACTGACCAAGTCCTGGGCTGCTCTTGAAGCCGGGTACCCTCTAGACTCAGGGACTTTTGCTTGTCACTGCCAATGTGACTTTAGGTACGAGAAGGCCCTTACCTCTTCCACTTTTGGGTAAGATGGACAGACCACTTCATGAACCTGCAGGGCTGGGACCATACGGCCTGGTCCTCAGGCATGCTGAGTTCGGGCACGACCGATTCATCCTGGTTGCCACCCCAGGGAAAGGGACAGATGGTGTCCTTGGTGCCATGGTGTGAGCTGCTTCCCAGGCCGTCTGGAGTGGAGGCACCGACCTGATGTCAGCCCAGGTGCTCGCTGCCAGGAAGCTGCTGGGCCGCAGGAGTAGCAGGAGCGGAGGCAGCGCCTCTCCTCACAGCACTTGGCTGGAAATGGCCCAGGGTAGCTTAGGCCTCCGGGGGGCAGGCTAAGCAGTGCCCTCCACCCCCAGTCTTCTCAGGCCGTTACAGCCGCAGGCCCAGGAACCTGTGTTTTTGGAAACCCGTGTGGCTGGGAACACACCTCAGCGGTGGGGCCTGGGCTTCACCCTCAACACTGCAACCTAAAAAGCAAAAAAGGAAGCACCTGTGGCCATCCCGACCCACTGCTTGCGGCCGAGCCTCAGCGGCCTTCAGGGCTCAGCAGCCCCGGGGCCCAGCTTCAAGGGACAGGTGCCAGCCATCTCCATCTGAGGAGCCGTCGGTGCCACCACAGAGCCCCAGCCTGGTCTGCAAGATGGTGACCGTGCTGTTCCCAGCTCGGGGAAGGAAAGCTGTGTGTACATGTTTATGTTGTGTTATTTATTGATACAAGTCTGGGTGCTCCCCAGCATAGGCCACCCGCGCTGCACGCCCTCCGCGACTCAAGGCTTGGGTGTGCGGTGTGTGTGCCTGGCAAGAAGAAATATTTTCTATTTTTTTAGGTCATTTCATGTTTTTGTCCAGGGAAGGCAAGTGCAGTACCACTGATGTGGGCTAAATCTGTGTAACCTTGATGTGAGAAGTGAAGGAAGATGGAAAGAAATAAAAGTTTTTATGTTTTTATGTTCTCGGCTCAAAAAGAAATGAGGAAATGCAGGGTTACTGTAAGAAAACACCCCACTCCACGCAGAGTTAGACCAGAACTTTATTGTGGTGTGTACACTTTCTGTCCGAGCACTGACACACATGTGAAGGGCACTGGGCGCTGCGGGCGCGCAGAAGTGCCTTTGCGGGGCATCTGCCCCCGGGCCACGCGGCAGCTACAGTAGGGCAGGACGTGGAAGGGCGGCCATGCGGTCTCATCCTCCCCGTGAGCAGCGAGGTCACAGACTGGGATCCTGGAGAACTCCCAGCAGAGGCGAGGGCTGAGCGGGGAAGGCAGCACACTCGGTGGTGCTGCCTGCTCTGTGCTGGCCGTGGCCCCAGAGAAGCAGTGGGACGCAGCTCTGGGGTGTGGCTGGACCCCAGTGGCAGGGGACATTCTACAAGGGCTGGTGGATGAGGGGGAGCACAGTTTGGGGACATTCTCCCCCAGGCCTGTGCTGTCTCCAAACAAGCAGCACCATTCTGTACCCCAGCTGTGGCCTCAGGGCAGAGTGGGAGAGGCCACCCCAGCAGCCTCCAGGAGGGTCCCTGATCGGTCGGTCCCCTGAGCAGCAGCCAGGTCCCTGAGCCCAGTGTGCTCAGTGTCACTTTACATTCCAGTCCTGGACTACGCTAGCACAAAGGACACAGAGAATCCTTTATTTACAAAATATTAAAAAGTCATTGATCATCTACATATTAACCCCCATTCTGCCACTTTATACATGCACTAACCTGGAAAAAATAAAAACTTAAAAAAACAAAAAACCACCAACTGATTACCAGGTGGAAGTGAACAATTTTTACCCTTTGTCACCAAGTCCTGTCACGGCAGCTTTTCTGGAGGGGCGAGGGCGAGGGTGGGGAGGGGGACCCTTTCAGGCCGGCAAGGGAAGCAGACACACGTGGTCCAGGCCGCGCATGGCCCTGTGCTGGCTGGCAGGAGCAGCAGGGAGGACAGCCGGTGGAGGTGGACGAGGGCAGAGCTACGGGTCTAACACCAAGCATGGGAGGGTGGGGTCTGCAGGCCTGCTGGCCCAAGGACTTTGTACATCACGGACCCAGGGCTGGGGGGGGCAGAGTCTCAGGCTGGGGAGTGGCAGCTGGGTCAGTAGCTGAGTGTGGAATCGTCCCACTCGAGCTGCTGCTGCCGGGTTGCATTCTGGCCGTCGCCTGGGCCGCCCTCTTCCTCCTCGCTGCTCTCTGACTCGGCGCTGGTGATGTCCTCTTCCTCCTCCCCGTCTTCACTTTCCTCTTCCTCTTCTTCCTCTTCCTCCTCTTCACTGCTATGCTGGTCCTCATATGTCTACCAGAGGGGAGGGCAGCTGAATCCAGCTGGTGGCCCCAGAGCCCAAGTCTCCTGCAGGAACCACCAAGGAAGGGAAACGCCCCAGGGGACACTCCCAGGGACAGGGAACCACTCCTCCATGGCTACAGAAACCCAAGGCCACAAATGTAGCCTCAGTGACAGCTGGTTTCTGCCAGAGTCACCAAGGGGCAGGAGGAGAAGAAAGCAGCCCCATGTGAATGTGGCCCACACTTTCCAGTGTTGGGCCTCAGTTTACCACATGAAAGGACAACCCTTAACTCCACACTCAATGGTTGCGCGGGTCACAGGATACAGGCATGCAGGCCCAGCGCTGCACTGTGGTGCCAGCCACTCCTACCTCCATGGGGTTCACGGTGATGGTCAAGGCTGAGTCGTCCCAGTCCATCTCATTCTCCTTCCCCGTATCCTGGTCCCGCATCGTCCGCTGATGTGCAGCCCGAATCCGAAACACTCCCAGGATAATCATGAAAACCAGGAAGCTGACACACACCACAATCACCACAGTGGCCGTGCTGGGGACAACTGCCAAGAAACCAAAGGAGAAAAACTCCGCGAAAATGCCTCTGTAGAGGGGGCAAGTCTAGGATACTTCTGTCTGCTCTGTGGCTATGTGAGCTTTCATCTCCTCGTAGGGGACACAGTAACAGGGACAGTGTGCCAGCCGTGAGGCCACCTGGACCTTGCTCAATGCCATCACATTTGTCCCAGAGCTTCCCGCAGCAGCCTACCTGCGAATGGGTGAGGATTGGCCAGGTTGTGGCCCGACAGGTCCACGAAGGAGCGGTGCTCAGGGTGAACAAACTGTGGCTGGGCGGCCATGTGGTTGGCGTGTTCCACGGGGCTGGCGGTGTGGATCACATTCACCTGCAGCAAACAGCAGAAAGGAAAGAAAGAGGGATGGGGGACAGAGGGACAGGGGGAAGATGGGCAACTGGATGGAGACCAGAAGCCCTAGAATGTGCTACACATGCCACCTGAGTGGCCCTGGGCCGGTCCAGGAGCAAGCAGTACTACTGTCTGTGACCCGAAGAAAATCCACAGCACTTAGAAGCTGGTGCAACAGCTTGATGCTGTCACAGACCCAAAAGACACGCTGCACTTTTTTTTTGGTACTAGGGATCAAACTCAGAACCGTGAACGTGCCAGGCAGGCACTTACGCACTTATCCTGGACTCCCCTGCCCTCGCGCCACTTTAGAGTGCATCTGTACAAGAATCCATCCACAGCAGGGTAGAAGCCAGGGACAGGCCTCACTTACATGCGGTGAGACAGTCGGCTTCACCCCAGCCACACCACACGGGCAGCGCACAGCATCTCACTATTTTCCTTCCAAGGCAGTGCTAAGAAAATGCTCACCCCAGCACTGCGAGGCCACGGCTGGGATGATGGATGGGAAGGGGAGCCCCAAGTGCCAAAGGTGCAGTGGGGGCTATCGGAGGCCTCAGAGCAGGACAAACTGCTGCTCTCAGATGCTGTGGCCTAGAGTGGTGGCAGCAGCCCGCAGTATGGGCCCTGATCTTCACTTTCTCCACAGGGGCCTAGTGACCCTGCTTGGCCACAGAACCCCTTGGTCTTGGGTGGTGTGCTCTAACAGTGTCCTACGAGCCCCTCACATATGAAATGCCTCCCTGCACATGCTTGCCCACACTGCTCCACCCTGCTCAGAGGCTCTGCAGGCTCTGGCTCTGCTGCACTGTGTGCATCCAGTCTCTGCAGCCCATGTCCAGCCCACAGCAGAACCCAGGCTGGAAGTCGAGCACCACCCCTGGGATGAGCCCGAATACACCAGAACTGCACCAAACATTGGGCTTTGAAAACCTTAGGGTTAAAAAAAAAAAAAGAAAAGAAAAAACCTTAGGGTTAAAACATGGAAGTATGCACTCTGGGAGGCTGAGGCAGAAGGATCATAAATTCATGCCCAGTCTGAGCAACTCAGGAAGATCTTGTCTCAAAATTAAAAAGGGCTGGGGATGGAGCTCAGTGAAAAGACCCTTGGTTCAATCTCCAGTATCGAGAAAATGAGTCAAGGCTTTCAATTACCACTGGCCGTTCTGGGTAGGAGCCCTGAACTCACCTCCACTTTAAACTCATTGCTCAGGTAACGGCCATTCAGCTCGGAGCAGATGAGCCTGAACTTCCGGTCTAGCAGGGAGCTGGTGTGCCAGTTCCGATAGCGCAGGAGGTGCAACACCTCCTCATAGCTGGCCATGGTGTCCACGCCTACAGGGTTCAGGGAAAGTGGCTAAACATATAAGCAGCATATGGGGCGTTGGCCTTGCGGGGCTCGAGCCCACGTCCTGACCCAGGGCCTCACCCTTCCCAGCCTGAGGGGTCGGTGTGCAGCCACACTGACATGGCTCAGGTTCCCAGGCAGTGAGAGGAGGTGGGCAGGGCAAAAGCCTCTCTCACCTCTGAGAACCACGCCCAGGTCTGAGCGGCTCACTTCAATGCCCTTCTGCTGCAGCCGGCCGGCATCCACTTCCAGGCTCTCTTGCTCCGGGCTCAGCTCCTCTCCCTCCACCGTGACCTCGCAGGTATCCAGGTCATGCACGACCTCCTCGGACACCAGGGACTCTTGGACTGCAAAAGCCACAGACTGTGAGGGTGAGGGCGGGGGAGGTTGTCACCCCTAACAGCTACCAGCTGCCAGCCGCCGGCCTGTATACAAGCTTACACAGCCCTTCAAGGACCCAGGTAGAAAAGTGCTGGCCTTGAGAACTAGGTTTGCGGAGCGTGGCGCTGGGTTCTGTCCCAGCACTAAGTAGTAAGTGAATGCCCAGGAGGACTCACTGAGCCCCAGTGAGAACGGTGTGGGCACTGTCCTCCCGTGGCAGACCCATGGGGCCTGAAGTCAGTCAGAAAAAGGTGAAAGGACCCAAAAACCATGTGTGTAGAAAGCATGGTAAGTTAGCCCAAAGGGACAGGCTCCAGAAGCACCCTACACACGCAACTCAACACCCGTCTCCCAAACCCTTCAGCAAAAGAGGCGGGGACCAGGTGGTGGCCAGGAGCGGCTATTACCTGTGGGGTCCTCAGCCCCGTCCCCATCAGGCTCCACCTCCCTCGTGACGGTGCTGATGATCCGAAGCTCTGGGAACAGGAAGACCCCTTCCGAGCTCTCAAATTCAGAAGCTGCTCGGGCAAAGTGGTGGATGCCGCTCAGGCTGATCTTGGGTTCTTCGGGCTGCAAAACCATCACATAGCCCTCGACAGTGGGGACCTCGATGCAGGTGGTAGCCTCATTAAAGCACCTGGCAAGGAATGAGCATGAGGGCAAGGGAGGGGAGAGCTGGGAAGCCATGCAGGGCTCACAAGTAAGGGTTCCACACCCGCCTGCAGGGGACAGAATATGGTGGGGCCTACGTGAGTCCGCAGCCCCGTAATGCAGATACTACGGGAGCGTCTTCTCCTTCACCCTTCCTTACAGAGGAAGATGAGAGTGTCTTAGCAACCCAAACACACACATTTCTTTCCTTAGGAGGTACGAAGCTGACTGCTAAAATCAGGACGTACTTGATCGTGCTGGTGATTCTGAGCCTCCGGATGCCTGGTGTGGGGAACTGCCTCGAGTTCAGGTAGGACAGGTGCTGCATGGCCTTGTCTAGCTCCCCAATGTCGTCACCTTCCAGAGTCAACACCGACTGGCTGGAGCTTGACTGGATCTGCAACCCATGGGCAGGAGGGGAGAGGACAAGGCTCTTGCTGGGAGGCGCTGGAGCCACTGAGGCTTTACCACAGAAGAATCCGGATTTGTTTTGTTTTGTTTGTTGAGACAGGGTCTCACCATGTAGCCCAGGCCTGCCTAGGACTCACAGCAACCCTCCTGCCTCAGCCACCCAAGAGCTAGGATGACACGGTGTGCCACCATGCCTGACAAAACTCTGGATTTACCCAAACTCATGATCTGAAACAGTTTCTTCTTCCTTTTCTGGGTACTGGAAATCAAATCCATCCCAACTTTTTTTTTTTTGATAGGGTTTCACTAAGTCACCAAGTTGCCCAGTCTGGGCTCAAACTTGTGATCCTCCTGCCTTAGTCTCCCAGACTGTTGGGATTACAGGAGTGTACTACCATGCCTGGCTAAGAAAAGCTATTCTGGGCCTTGAGGATAGCTCAGTGGTCTAAGCACCCGACTAGGAAAGCACAAGGACCCAGGCTCAATCTGTACTGCTTCAGGCTGTGCCAGCCCCGCGCTACATAGTGAGACCCTGTACCAAGGGCAGGGGAGATAGCTCAGTGGAATAAGTGCTCGCTTGGCAAGCACAAGGTCCTGGTCCTGAGTTTGATCCCTGGTACAGCAACAAATAAATAAATAAAAAGATAAAGATATTTTGCTACAGTTGAATGAGATCTTCTCTCACACGCCACGTAACACCTCAGGTGTACATGTCATCCATCCCTACCCGACTTCCCCATCTGCAGTCCAGGCGCGCAAGTCCAGTGCAGACAGATGCCCAAATTACCTGGATACCTCTGCTGTCCTCAGGGAGCTGCAAGTCCAGCCCCTCTTTGCAGGTATACAAACAGTCGATCACCTTCTTGTCTGCGAGTTTCCCAGAGCGGACTGTGAGGCCAGCCAGGTTCCCTCGGAAAAACTGGATCATGTGCAGGCTGCCACCTTTGGAAGAGCAGGAGAAAGAAGTGAAGGGTGCAGCGATCCCGATGTTCCAAGTCATTTCTCAATGCAGTGTTACCGGTGGTGTGGCTGGCTGGATGGGCATGCGGGTTAGTTCAGACCAAATTCCACTAGTCTGGCAATCTACATGGAAGCGCAATGAAGACATTAAATCGCGATGATCATGCACATGGCCCAGAGGGGGAGGAGCTGGGGGAGGTCCCTCAGCCCCAGCTGGGACGCCCCATGGAGAGTCCACACACTCCCAGCTACACCCTGGTGCCCTACCCTGTCCCCATTACACTGCAACGCTGCCTACTGACGCCAGCTCCTCACTGTGGGAGCTGGGCACACTGCAGCTGCACTAACCCTACAAACACATGCTTGGGGACAAAGCCATGCAAGCACGGCAGAGGGGACACAGACCATGTAAGTCTCCCTTCTGTGGGGAGCTGCTGCTCGGTCAAGGACCATCGTTCATGTCTCCTACTTCCGAGAAGAACTAGGAAGGGAGGAGTTGCTGAGGGAAAATAAAACCCAGAACATGGCCCTCAAGAGGCTACACTGAGGGCTCACCAATGAAATCCTGTGCCTGCGCTTGACGCAGAAGAGGAGACGCAGCTTTTGCAATGTGTCCCATTCTCTCAGGGCACCAGCTATGGCAAGCCATTGCCAAGGATCAAGACTGCCAAGAAGCATCTGCTTAGAATGCAATATCAAATGGGACAAGAAATCTAGAAATGGGTCATTTCCTGTCCACAGTTCAGCCCGGGAGCACCATGAGATGGCTCCCAGACAGACTGGGAGATGCCAGCAGGGAGCCAGGGCAGCAGGACTGGCAGGCCTGGGAGGGGAACGATCACCCCAGGGAGCACTATATGGCTGAGTCCCCATCCTCACGTCAGTGGGGTAGTGTGGGCAGAAAGGGAACCCTGTGAGGCAGTGGGGCGCAATGCAGACAAGCAGCTGGAAGGGAGTGGGGGCCTGATGCAGCCTGGCACGTCATGCGACATGTGGAATGAATCAATGTCTCATCATTAAATGAAACACAATAGTTAACGGTAGGAGAAAAATCCAGCAACCTGTAGAGGCCACAGTCACAGGCTCAGTGTCATTGTCACTTTCAACTCCTGAATACTCTGTGGAAAAGCAAGACAGACAATAGAGAAGGACCAGGAGGTTAGGGTCTTCAAGTTGGACTGCAAAAATCAGCTGTGAAGCAACCAAATATAAACCCAGAGAAAAAATTCCTTTCTTGCCCCTTGAAAGGATGTATTCCTCACCAAGCAAGCTTGATCATCTTTTCCCAGAAATGAGGTGACACCTCATGCTCTTGTATTTTTGTTTTATTCCATCTTCCCACACCTTCCTTATCAAATACAAATTAGACTCAAACAAGCAAGAGCAGGACGGTTACACTGACACCCTCAGCCAGGCTAGCCGCAGACATCCCAGTGGCTCAGCACTGACGGTGGCGAGTCCCAGACAGAAAGATACCATCTGGGCCCACACTGCCTGACTTCCGGGTCCACAAGACACACAAGGCCCTGAACCTGCTCTGGGTCACACATGAGTCTGTGTTTTGGCAAACCTAAAAACACGTTTGCATTCAAGTGACAGGGACAAGAAGCTATTTAAAAGTACCTTTAGGAGCAGGAAGAGATGTGAGGGAGCTCACCTACACAACAGCCCCCAGCAGGCCCACCAGAGCTGCCGAGCAACCAGTGCTTGGAGCAGGGCACCCAACAGTGTTGTAGGTCAGTCCAGATGTGGTCTGCAGGAGCTCCAGCGCAGTGCAGCACAGGGACACCTCTGTGTGCACAGATGTGGCCTGCACTGGCTCAGCTGCCCCCTCCTCCATGGGGAAGCAGCATGGACAGAGATTTTACACCCCAAGGAAGGAAGAGGAGGCTCCTTCTTACAAGCCAAATGTTAAAGAACCTGACCTTCAACAGCAACAAAGAGCCTGTGCTACTTGGTTTGAGAATTCAGGCAAACTTTTCTGGCTGAGGATGCTGAGATAGCCAAGGTAAAAAGTAGCAAAAGAGGAGGATGACAGCCGTGTGACCGCAGATGGCACAAACAGAAACCAAGGGCAGACAGAAGACACTGCAGTTTACTTTAGCCGCAGTAACAGAGGTCCCAGATGTATGGTCTCACTTAGATTTACATTGTATTTTAATTTTAATTTTAAAAGTATTTTTCAGGGACTGGGCATGACACCACACACCTGCAATCCCAGCACAGGAGGCCAAGGCCAGCCTAGGCTACATACTAATTCCGAGGCCAGCCTGACTACAAAGTGAGACCCTGTCACCTGCCCCAGAAGTGTATGTGTACATGAAACTCAGAAATTATAATCTAAGAAGCAAACGTGAACTGCAATTCCTGCATCCTTTATACTTCACTGACCATCGCTGAGTCTTCCATTCCACTCTCTCTTGGGTAGTTCTGACTAAATTAAATATGACACCCACTAAGGAAGTTCATCCCAACATACTATTTTATTTCTTTTCATATGAAAGAATTTTCAGGAAAATTATGAACTTCAAATTCATTTAAAATGAGACAATCTTTTCTTTTTTTGGGAAACACCAAATGGCGGATGATGCTGGTGCAACGGGAGGGGCTGGAGGCCCCGGAGGCCGAGGCATGGGAGGCCACGGTGGCTTCCAACGAGGCTTCAGCAGCGGCCTTTGAGATTGAGGGTGCGGTAGAGGCTGGGGCAGAGGCTGAGGGGCTTGCGGCGGTAAGGCCGAGGACAAAGAGTGGATTCCCATCACCAAGCTGGGCCAGCTGGTCAAAAACATGAAGATCAAGTCCCTGGAGGAAATTTACCTTTTTTCCTTACCCATCAAAGAGTCTGAGATTATTGACTTTTTCCTGGGCACATCCCTTAAGGATGAAGTTCTGAAGAATCATGCCTGTGCAGAAGCAAACTTGGGCTGGCCAATGGACCAGGATCAAGGCATCTGTCGCCACTGGGGACCACAATGGTCATGCTGGCCTGAGTGTAAAGTGTTCCAAGGAAGTTGCCACTGTCATTTGTGGGGCCATTATCCTGGCCAAGCTCTCCATTGTCCCCGTGAGGAGAGGCTACTGGGGAAACAAGATCGGCAAGCCCCACACTGTTTCTTGCAAGGTGACACCGCTATGGCTGTGTTGGTGGCTCTGATCCCTGCCCCCAGAGGCACTGGCATTGTCTCAGCCCCTGTGCCCAAGAAGCTGCTGCTGATGGCTGGTGTTGATGACTGCTACACCTCTGCGAGGGGCTGCATTACTACTTAGGGCAACTTTGCTAAGGCCACCTTTGATGCCATCTCCAAGACCTCCAGCTATCTGACCCCTGACCTCTGGAAAGAGACTGTATTCACCAAGTCTCCGTATCAGGAAATCACTGACCGTCTCGTGAGAACCCACACCAGAGTCTCTGTCCAGAGGACTCAAGCTCCAGCAGTGGATACAACATAAACAGTTTTTACACAAGAAAAATAAAATGAAATAAGTCTGGAAAAAAAAAAAAAAGAGTGAGAAAATCTGTCTTGAGGGGCCAGGGAGATGGCTCAGTGGACTAAGTGCTTCCCTGGCAAGTGCAAGGGTCTGAGTTCAATCCCTGATTCCGGAAAAAGAAAAAAGAAAATCTGTCATGAGAACTGAGCTTTCATAAATTTCTAAGCCACATGAAGGAACTGTTTCCACAGGGACAGAAAGTACTGTCTGTGTTTAGCAAGCACATGTAGTGATGGTGACACACCTGGAACTGACCCAAGATATAGCCAAGCACAAGAGTCACAGCAGGGTTCAAGAACCTCCAGGGTAGTCTGCCCTGAGGGGGGATGTGAAATACTTGGATGTGAAAAATTAGTACTAATTTCCACTAATTCCCTAAATTTCACCTTTCCTTTGGTTATAAACAGGGTATAAACCACAGCAGGCCTAGGGTACCTATGACGCTTGCCACAGTAGGACTGTCGGGCACTGTCCTATCCCACCATACGGTCACCAAGCCCTCTGCCACGCTGGCGTCACGGCCATTCTCTGGTAAGCACAGCATGGCAGGCACGGCACTTTCTCAGCGCCACCCTTGACAGTGTGTATCGCCGCTTTCAGGTTTCACAAGCAGCTATGTCCTAAGTGTCACACCTGAAGCAGCTCTGTGCTCACCTGGCCAGCATGGGCTCCCCTCACGGGACATGTTCGCACTCCTGCTCTGGAGGCTAAGAGCTGGGTCAAGCGCACGGCTTCCCCGAGCAAATCCCAGCTCAAATCGTCACCTGGCTCACCTGGGCTCCAGGATTCTCCAAACTCACTCCTACAGCTGCAGCCCTAGGTCCATGAGAGCACGCGGTGTGGGCACACAGCCTGACACTTGGTACACGGGCAAGCGGGCTGTCACTCTGGGACACTGAGCACACCACAGCCTCAGGCTTTTGGGGAAGATTTCCATCACCCCTTCGCAGACAGGGTGACGCTGACAGTTCCCTTGCAGCGTCCTACTCGTTTGCCAAACATTAAATAAGAGAGCCCTTCATGCCCAGGATTTTTTTTTTGCTCTGAATGCCTTCAGGGTGGGTTTGGCTGGCTTGAGTTCTGGGGATCGAACCACAGCAACCTGAGCCTGACTGCTTTGTTGAAGCAGCCACTTAAAGAGCTGAGCTAAGGGGCAGGCCACCATGTCCAGGATTTTTAAGTCCTTTATATCTCTGTGCCTCACCGCTGACTGCTGCCTCTTTGTCCATATAAATTCATTTATCAAGCAGCCCCCCAGTTACGCCCTCCTCCATGCACTGCTCCCCCCAGGTCACCTTCCTGGGCACCCAGAATTGGAGCTATGCTCCAGGATGGCACCAGCAATGTCACTGAAAAGGAAGCACAAGCAAAGGAAGAAAAAGATCAAGTACAGGAAGGATGCAGATGCTAAGAGCCTGTTCCCACTGGGCACTAGAGACGTGTTGGTTCCTGCCCCCCGGAGCCAGGATGCAGATGCTAAGAGCCTGTCCCACTGGGCACTAGAGACGTGTTGGTTCCTGCCACCCGGAGCCAGGACAGAGTGTTACCTTGCCAGCAAGCCCCCACGACGAGCTGCGTGTCTATCTTGGACGGATGAAGCGGGTAATCTTCAGTCACTGAGAAGGGCTCATGGGAGGCGCCGTCCACATACAGAGTCACAGCTGGGAGCTCCACGTTGAGGACGAAGTGGTGCCACTCTTCATCACAGACCTACCCACGGCAAAGGAAACGTCAGCCTGCCCTGCTGCCAGAAAACACACCAAGAGCAAGACGCCAGGCTACGCGAAACACGTCACCCAAATAATTATGTCTTCCTATAAGAAAAGATTTCCTTAACATCTCACAATGAAGTGTCCTGCAAACACAAAAAGGGACAAAAGTGTCACCAAAAAGGGACAAAACCACACTATCATCTGTAGGGTATTTCACGCCAGGTGGCACTCATCACAAGACAGGGCCCCACACAGGCAGCTGCCCAGTTCTGCTCTGCCAATGACACAATTCCTCCTACTTGCAAAGACCGGGGTGGGCTGCCAACGGCCTGTCTGTGTCTAGACCAAAACCTAAAGCACCCTCAGTCTCAGAGTATGAACTGCAACAGGACAGGACACAGCTGTTCTTTCTCCAGCTGATTTAAATACAAACATCCAGGGCCACAGAGATAGCTCAGCAGTCTAAGTGCCTGCCTAGGCAAGTGCAAGGACCTGGGTTCGATCCCTGGCACCACATGCCAGTGGTGGCCTTGTCCCAGAAACACTGAGCCAGCCACTGAGACCAGGCACAGTGAAGCACGCCTGTAACCCCAGCACTGGGGAAGCTGAAAACAGGAGGATCAGTACGAGTCCAAATTGTGTTGTGAGACCCTGTACCAAATACATAAAATGAATGAATGAAAGAAAGAAAGAAAGAAAGAAAGAAAGAAAGAAAGAAAGAAACAGACAGACAGACAGACATCCCTGGGCTTAGGGGTGGGGTTCTGCGGTAAAGTACATACTGTTGTGCACAAGGCCCTCAGTTCAATCCCCAGTACCACAAAATAAACCAGGGACATAAAATAAAATAAGAACACACAGCTCAGGTGACACAACAAATTTCACTTTCCTGCTGGGAACAGACATCACAGATGCAGACCAACCAACTGTGATGCGTAACACGATGCCATTTGAAATCTGAACATTACTGGGTATTTGCTAATATGAGGAATTATTTTTTTTAGTGCTGGAGACTAAACCTCGGGCCTCCTGCATGCCAAGCACACACTTCATCAAGAACACACATCCTGGTTCTTGCACATTTTATAAGATGTGCAAAACTATGGTGACCCTGCTCTCTCCTGGAGATACACAATGAAAGATGAATGTTTCTTTTCTTTT